GTCCTGATCAGACTGTTCCCAGAAGAACTGCCTCCGAGTAGTCTCTTCTCGCCGTCCAGAATCTCTGGTGCGGGTCCTAACCCACCCTTGGTCAGTGCTGGTCACCGACACTTGACAGCCAAACTATATGCCTTTACCCCTTCGAATATAAATCCAGGAGATACCTCCAGACTCGACGCAAGAACATTTGCAGAAGACAGTGCAGGACAGAGATGCGAATCTTAGCTTCGCCACACGCACCACTTACCTAGATCTCAGGTATAAGCATTTTAGCCTGTCTAAGCCTCCACGTTCTAGCCTGTAATATAGGGAATAACCCCTGGGGCAGTTGTGAGAGTGAACATAATACCCGAAGCACCTGGCACTGGGCTCAGAATGATCACAGGACGACTTAAGGTTCTCCAGCACAGCAGCACTGGGGCCGAGCCAGGTGCTCAGCAGGGACCTGCAAACCTTCACTGCCCTGGGGCTCTCCCCAGCTCACCTCTGCTCATAAGCCTGAGAAGACTGCTCAATGGCCACGTTCATGGTTTTCTTCTGCATCAGCAGGCGCCCACGAAGCTGCTGGTAGACGTGGTCATAAGCAGCCTTCTCAAACTGCAGGTCTTCAATCTCCTTCCGGAGCTTGGCGTTGTTGGTCAGCATCTTGTCAAAGTGCACAGTGACCTGTCGAAAGGGCTGTGCTTTAAAAGGGGCTCGTTCCTGAGGGCAAGACGAGCTCCCAGAAGGCAATGGGAGGGCTGGAAGGTCACAGCACAGCGGTTGCAGCAGCGGGCCACAGCACAGCGGTTGCAGCAGCGGGCGAGGGCCTTGAGTTGGCCACCAACGGGCTGAGTGGTCTTTGGTGGATCCTTTTTCCTGGACTTCCAGTTCCTCAACTACTTTTAGACCTAACTTCCAGTTTTCAGCAATTCATGGGAGGGAGAGAAAAACACGCTAAATGACATCATGGGAAATATTCAGCCAAATCCAGAACTTTCTACGAGACCATTGACCTGGACTCTTCAACAAGTGGATGGCGTGAACAAAAGGATCAAGTTATGCACGTCTAAGCCTAATAGTTCTTGGAGACATCATCAACAAGAAAGCACTACCTAAAGAGCAGTATGAGCAGATTGTCATGGAGAAGGTCTCACTAATTCTGCTTGGAAAAGGGTCATATTTGAGCTGCTTCTTGAAAACAGGTAAGAATGTTTGAGGCAGGGAACTGAGAATAGGCATCCCAGGTGGGGTGGATAATGGGGCTGGGATGGCAACAGCATTTGCTCGGGGGGGTGGAACACAGTGAGTGATGAAAGGACAGACAGAGAGCCAAAAGCCATTTTTCGTCTCGTTCCTAACCCTTAATGCAATGATGAGAAAGTAGAAGCTATACTTTAGGAGAAATGGATACTTTTTTTTACTTTTTATTTTTGAGTCGGAGTCTCACTCTGCCGCCCAGACTGGAGTGCAGTGGCCGCTCCCGGCCGCCGCAGCCTCGACCTGCGGGGCTCCGGCGATCCTTCCGCCTCAGCCTTCCAAGTACCGGAATTACAGGCGCGCGCTACCTCGCCCGGCTGATTTTTTTGATTTATTGTA